CAATAACGAGGGACAAGAGAAAGAAGGAGACAGACAACGGCACTGACTAACAACAAGATTTATTTGCTAGAACCGCACAATATATACTTGGGCAGTATCTGACAAAAAAAGAGAAAAATACAAAACAAAGAAAACAGAATCCACCTAACAACTACGTAATCATCACCACAACGCACCATGAACAACACGTGTGCTAACGTTCTGAAAAAATCTATTTCTTTTTGTGATAGCACAATCGAAGGCCTGCTGACACATGCACTGCCCAGCCTTTCTATCTCTGCAGCCTCATAAATTTCACGTATCATCTGGTCCCGATGACGCCTAATGACGGTACAAAGCTGAAAAACGGGGACACAGCCGCAGTCTCGGCAATGAATGCCGAGGTGGCCCAAAACTGTAAAGGAGACGTTGTGAGCGTGCTCTTTCAGCCGCTCATTTAAACACCTGCCTGTTTGGCCGATATACCACTTGCCGCAGGACAGGGGTAGAGAGTACACCACCCCTTCAATGCATGGAACGTACTTCTTCCGATGCTTGATTTTGCAGCCTCGCTCAACCCTGGAACCAGGATTCATGGCCCTGCACAACCTAGCCAGTTTTTCTGGGGCAGAAAAAAACAGGTCTACGTAGCACCTGCTGGCCACTTTTTTGAGATTGTGGGTGGTGCCGTGAATAGAGGGAATAACGACGAAGTTTCGTTCCCGATGGAGGCGGAAATGCTGTAGGCCCGCGTGCTCAGATTTGGGTCCAGGTGGTCAAAATTGCCAGAGCCCTCCACTAGGGCGTCTCTCATAATCATATGGTGGTTTGGGGACGTTAAAACCCACATATCATCATCATGTCAAAACAGTACTGTGTTGTGCAATGTCTAACTCCGTTGCAGTTTGCTGTAGAGCCAGGTGCAACCAGCAAGTGTGAAACGGTTTAGCTTAATGTCTGATGTTTTGCATATTTAATACTCTGAAGGAGAACTATGAATTTCTTACCGCAATTTGGACAGGCCACTGACCATCATGAAGTGTTTGTTAGATCAATAAGATTTCGACATTTGTTTGTTAGATAACTTGCTAGAACAATGGAAAAAACAAATGTAGACATCACAGTTCTGCACGTCGTAATGAAGTGCCACAGTCAACACTATAGTTGTAACGTTAATTAGTATGGATGTGAAGGACTGAATAGTGATGTTCTGTTTCACCAATTTTCGTAACTGTCACATGTGACAGAAAGGCAAGCGTGCTAGATACAGTTTGAAGAACTTGTTTAGTAAGCCTAATATCCGCATTCTTTACAGCCAGTTGAGTGAGAAAGTGTGATGATGTGGCTTTGCTGTTGTTTTAAATAGTTTTGACGAAAAACTGTGGTAACGCTGACTATCAAGCTCAGCTAGCAGAGTCTTTGACGTTGGTACTCGCTGTGTAGCACAAAATGAGTTGCTATAAGCAGACATAAGACACATAATAAACATCACGCACACTGCCACCTCTTATAATCTGAATTTGTTGTACCCACACAGCATCACACATGTATATTTTGAAGGCCCAATGTTCTGGTTTCAACTAAGCAATGCTAGCATGTGTGTCATACATGCACATGAGTAGCAAAACGTTGGGCGTCACCACCTTCACGTTTGTTTTCCTTTGATTTTACTCCGCAAAAGCTGTCACACACGTTATCTTGATATTCAAAATATTCAGATGAAAGGAGACATTCACAGATCATTTGATAATGCATACTAAGACAGTCCCAATGCACGAAGCAAGATGTGAAGAGAGAATTCAACAGAAAAAAAAAAAAAATTCCCTGGGCCATTCCTGTCTTACATAGCAAGCATTGTACCACCGATCATAAGATACATAGCAAACTAAATTGATCGTGTATGTACTTAATCTCTCTGACATTATCTATGTACCCAAATATAACTCATCCAGACGCTACAGCATGAATGTTGGACGGCTTGCCTCAAACTCGTGTGATGCGCGGTTGTACTTTCGAGTTGCACTGTACTATTCCCACAGTTCACTTTGATGCGCTTACTATTTCTTTGAAGCGTGGACTGGTGAAAGAAGCTTTCCAGGTCCTTGATTTTCAGGAAACTGTGCTTCCATGCAATTGAAAAATGGGCTTCTTTTGTGGCCTATGCACATTTGCTCGTAGGCAGCTCTCTTTGCGATACCCACTTACAGCTGTGGCTGTGATGAAGACGCTGGTGGCAGTGTTTTTCGCAGTGCTGCTTATACAGAGTATGACAGTTACATAGTGGGCGATGTGCTTTTCATCCACAATGAAAGATGGAGACCGACAAGCTCAGACAGTGTGGCTGCAAGATTCCTTTAATCACACAGCTATTAAACATTCATTTGTTTTCGGCCTCCTCTTTTCACAAAGGCTTGAAAGAGCCTCTGTAGTGTTTTTCATGTGCACTTGTGAATTCATGATACTTGATATATTAGCTGGCAATCCCTTTAATTGTTGACTGTGAGAGTATTATAAAAAGTTTGAGCAGCTTCCATACTCTGTGTGTTTAGCAAAGCAGAGAGCTGGCTATGGTACATAGTTTTGAACCGGATGGGATGTGGGTTAATGGTTCAAGCGCAGATACCAATTTCACCATTCCCTACTAGCCCAATGAAATAGTGTGTTCATCAAAGAGAGAAGCATGCTTGGGCTCTTTGATGTGCACATCATAGGCAGCATTCATAGGTGCAGGGTCAGGAAATCTGAAGGGATGGAGTTACAGCAGTACGTTTTCATACTTGCTTCATTACTTTAAAGATGAATTGCAAGCATAGGACAACCAAAGACCACATTAGGAAGTACTGGCCAATGTTAGCTAGTCCAAGACAGCCCTGACAGTTGCACAGTGCCGTGTTACAGTGTAGTTTTAGGCAACTGTTAGTGAACACTAACAAAAGTTAGCCAATGTGATCTATGGCTGACCAACATAACCAAGCTTTAGCCAACACCATTAGAGAGTGAAGCTGAGAGCATAATGGAAAGCTGCACGAGCATTTCTTGTTATTGCGGGGGGGGGGGGGGGCTTTTTTTTTTTTTAGAGTTGCGTGGTTGCTTTCAGTTCTTCAAATAGAGGAAAGCTAATGTGACATGAAATAGCTGCCACACATATAAAAGCTCAATCTGGCGTATTGCTACTTCACATTGCACTGATAAGTGCCATTTTTTAGGGGCGAAGCTCCTTAAGGCGTGGGCTGTGCGTCCCCTGTATGTAGCCACCTCTCGTTTAGTTCTTGCAGTGTCCACTAGATGGCAGTACCGTCTCCCGTATGTCGCCTTCTCTCGTTTAGTTCTTGCAGTGTTCACTAGATGGCGGCACCGTCTCCGGCATGTAGCCACCTCTCGTTTAGTTCTTTCAGTGCTCACTAGATGGCGGGACCTGTAGCTGATGATGAAAAGATGCAAGATGTTATAAACTAGACGGCGGTACTTGTAGTTGATGATGAAAGATGCGAGATGTTATAAAATAGGAATGATGTCACATATGGCACGTGTCATTGGTGGAAGGCAATCGTTCGATTTAGTGCGGCGACGTATGCTAGGGGGAGCATTGTAATAAAATAGAGTAGGCAAAATGTACGGAAGATTCATGGTTTACCAGGTTTTCCTCCAGAGCTTCGCCCACTCATCATCATTCACTTCGTGGATATGGCGGCACTTTTTAAGGATGCTAGATTCAAACAGGAGTTGTTATTATTCAACTGAACTACTGAAGCAAAGTAAATGCAAATGTCTTGCCTATATATTGATCCAAAATGGCAAGTTGGGTGAGTTGGTGCGAACTCATGTCCTGAAGAAAGAGTACAGATGAACACCAGAAATGGCGGGAAGACACACAGCGCTACACGCCAAACTGAAGGTTTATTGGGTTTTAACTCTTGCTTTTTAACGTGGCCCTCTACGGCAGGGCTTTGTAGGCCGTCATTCAGTCCTCAGAATATTTCCACGTTTGATGTTGTTCCACTGACCACGCTTTCTTATTCAGAAAAATTATGCATTCAAGTAACCGACGATTTTTTTTCTTGAGCTTTCGCACTCGTCTTGTTCAAAACGATAGAAGCAGACAAAAGACATACAAGGGGTGTACCTTTCAGCACAGACACTGGTAGCTTGCACGCTGGATAAGATGTAAATTGGTTGGTACGGCTGTAGGTAGCAGCACCTTGCATTCTACTTTGAAGTTGTCCTGCTTGAAGTGAACGAAGTAAATGTCTGACTTCTTTGCAGTTACTGATCTGCACCGGAGCACACAAGCCTTGGGAATCACAGTTATCATTAAATGTCTTATCTCATTAATCACTCAATGTGGTAATTGTTAAATGTCCGATCTCATTAAGCACTCACTGATAGAGCGAACACCTTGCGAAAGCACACCTTTTCTACCTCAAAAGCAAGCATCCGGCTGCTCCTTTCCTCAAAAGCGTTTGCTGGTGCTTGCTCGAGCCAGTGCTACGATCATTCGCTGTAATTTACCGATGCGCAGCGCTCCCTCGGTAGCATCTGAAAACTCTACAAGTCACATGTTCTCCCATTGAAAAACGCACTCATTCGGCAGGCCGCACCTCTTCCTTACTCAGCGACCGTGTTTATGGTATTAAAGGCTTTTAAATAGTCTACAGACCTTTTCAGTGATGCTAGACACTGTTAACATATATGTATTCTATCCAAAAAAAAGAATTGATATATGTTCTATGCACATCTTTTATATTGTTGCACCTCTCTGATGTTCAAGGGTGCGTGGGAATATACACTAATAAAATGTTTCTTCTGAAACAAACTAGTAGCGAGGTCAGCAAGTTTTATGCTCTCCTCTTAGACCTAGACCCATCCACTGTTTTACCTACACAGAATGGTGAAAACAGTTGGTAGTTGGTACTTCTTTGTCTCTTGCGGGTTTCCTTTTTACTTGTCCCAGACTTTTGCAGCAAAAACGTAATAATTACCCCTTATTAAACTGGAAGCTCTGGTGTGTTCTTTTGTTGCAGGGAAGGCCATGTGCACATAATGTCCAGCCTTTTGGATTTATTCCCAGATGCATGGAACACTAGCAGCAGGAACAAGAGAACACCCCTTCATACAGCTGGTATGTCCTTGTGATAAACACCCTGTCACATTAAACTGCAGTCACAACTGCTGTTTAACGCCCTGTCACAATGTGGCAAAGGTTAGGAAGAACTGATGGACCTCAAGATATTCACTGCAGCCATATGCTGCTTAGTACAACTTGCACTATGACAATGTATTGCTAGACTGCGGTATACAGTAGTAGAGTCTCAGTAAACGGAAATTTACATTCGGAACTGTTGCTTAAGTGAAACTTCCTCTGATATGTACCTCGGTCGCAAAATCGCTGGCATCGGCGCACCTGTGTTTATACATCCTGCATTTGCGCATCAATGGTGCGGTATGCATTGGATCTGCTGCTGCATGGCACGGGAGGAGAGGAGGGGTTAGATTCAAGAGTTGGTGGCAAGAATATTTTTCCCTTGAATTAAAAAAAATTATTTCATTGAAAGACTAAAGCAGTGAATACGGTAGCAACATGCAATGTTATAACGAACCAAGGCTAGCAGCAAACTCTTCTTTCTTCATACAATTTAGCGAAACTAGAATGCTTGTGTATGGGAGTAGGGGCGCTCCTGGGAAACAAGTGGTTTTTCTGTAGTTTGTCGTCAGTGGTCATAGCAGGTAGCGGTGAGATTATAGCGCGTAAAAGGGTAGACGAACTGTTTGCTTATTCCTGCCAATATTTCAGGCGCGACCGTGCCAAGGTTCAGAGTTGTGGCTAGTATCTCACAGCCCCTCTACCTCAGTGTCCCTTTATACTCCTTTATCCAACAAGACAGACAAGACGCTTCCTTTCTGGTGGGAGAGCAACTGACGGCAGGCCTCACACGTGGAGTGATGTTATCGCATGTGCCCTCTGTGAGATAGAAATGAGCAGCTTCTTTCATCAGTGCTTCAACCGTGTTCCTCGCTAGCACTTGCGAACTTTTACTAGCGGGTATAGCATACGATGAATGTGTAAGAGTTATTGATGAGTTTGCTTTTCTGGCTGATAGGCTGTGTTGTAATTTTTGGAAATGTAGGTGCATGCAGGTAGGTTTTGGGAGCTAAGCAATAGTTTAACAAAAGTCAATTGCAAGTGTCTGCTTGTCCGTGTCCTTTCTATCGTCCATGTTCTTGGGATGCGCTTATGAGTTCCTTTCTAGCTTTCTCGTGTGTAATAATGTTTTTTAGCAAATTATGTGTGTACCTTTTGGCTAAAAAACAAATGCAGCCTCCTATGCTTTTGGCATATTGCAAGTGAGTTGACCAGTACAAATTGCTTTTTTTTTTCCGAAAGGAAACCTGTAGACAAGAAAACCTGGGTGAGGCAGCACTGCTCTGCCTTGATGAAAGGACCTCTTTTTGAAAGGAACTTCAGTTGGCAGTTTGTTTGCATTGTAGTTGCGTTCGCGTGCATTCTATCTCATTTGATGCGCCATTTTCGCTGTCTCTTTCATCCTCGCTCCCTTGCACAATGTGATCGCTTTTGGCACTGTGCGTAATAGCAGCATGTGTACATGCTGGAGACACCTTGTGTGATTAGAGCTGTATGCACATTCATACCTCGCACCGCACTGGCAGTCATGCTGCATTTTAGCTGCGGCTTGTGGGCTCATCTCACTGATGTGAATGGCTTTACCAGGACAGCCTTTTGGCAGCAGTCATATACACAAAAGCGAGAAAAAAAAAAGTCCTAGAATTTAATTTATTGTGCCTGCTGTTGAAGTTCCCAAATAAAATAGCACGAAGATTGTCACTCATCAACAGCAATACCTTCTGTAACTTTCTGCCATATGTACACATGAAGTGTAAAAGAAGTCACCTTGCTTAGAGATGTGTGTGCACATGACAGGCAAGCATTTATGTAGGAAACTGCCAGTTTAGGCTAGTTTATGCCCGTATCAGCTGGGCGAAGATGGGTGCCAAGCTGAGCTTGTCGGTAAGTTTGAGCCTAGGACAAATTGCACAGTGCTAGGGCAGGAAAGGTGCCTGCAATATTTGTTACATTTTTGCCGTGTCCTCAAGCAGTTCTCTCAAAGTACAAGACGGGCAGTATCCCTGGTCCACCCGGTTTTTCAGGCTAGAAATCTTTAGCAAAAATACGTCTGCTGCCTAGTTCTTCTCGATATCACACTTGATATAGAAATGCAACCCCTGTTAGCAACAAGGAGCAATGGCATGCTGCCTGGCACGCCTTCGCATGAGCAGGTAAGCCAGTGATTTTCAATGTTTGCACCAGCTCACTATGGGAACAGAAGCGTTTAGGTTGCCTTGTCTCTGCAGAACTTAAACTACCATGGAAAAAAAAATTCAGCACTGCTATGCAAAACTTGTGTGTCATGCAACAGCGGTAATGTTACCTATGTTATGGGCTGTGCAGTTTACAAATATTGAGCCCAGTTTCTCTGCTATGGTGAATAAATGGTTGTGTGTGCACTTGATGGATCACAGTTTTCACTTGTAAGAACCGCACTGTTTATTGTTGACAGCTTTACATGGCCAGTTGCAGTGCGTGAAGCTACTTCTGATGAGGGGCGATTATCCACCAGATGTAGCTGACAACTGTGGCACTACACCTTTCATGGACGCTGCGAGTGCAGATCAGGTGGCCATACTAGACTGCTTGGCAGAGCTCCAAAAGGTGCGCCTTTTTGCTCAGCCACATCATTGTTTGTATGCTGAGCTATGCTACCCATTCATAACATCTTGTGTTGTGTAGTCAACTACAGTAAAAGCTTGTTAATTTGAACTTACAGGTAATTTGGATTGACGGCCCAGTCTCAGCACAGCCCTATTTATATTGTCACGCGCTAAGAGCTCGAAGGAACGTACAAAGGGACGTAACTGTCTAAATCTCGGAGACAAAGAAGGACGTCTCCGCTGGCACCGGTTGCTTGTCTTCGTCTCCCTCGTTCACCGGCACAGAACTGACCCACTGTTCACTGGCACAGAACACCAGGTGGCATTACACCTCCTCCCAAGAGAGCATCGACCCGATGCTCAAACAAAAGTGTGCACAGCAGTGGGTCGAAGTAGGCAACATAAAGAAACATTAAACAAATTAGTGCACGAGAGAGAATGCGTCCTGGGCCCGGCAATCGGAAATAAACGGCATTCACTGTTCACACGAAGAGTTCACTGGCACAAGAAGAAAATTTGCATCACCGTGTAAAGTATGGTTTTAGGCGGACTACGTGTACAGTCTCTGGGTGTGGTAACCTGCGCTGGGATGATGGTGAGCCTCCGTCTGGAACCACTTCGTAGTTCACGTCGCTCACTTATCTGAGTACTTTGTAAGGTCCAAAGTACTTCCTCAAGAGTTTCTCACTGAGACCTTGCCGCCTATAGGGTGTCCAAACTCAAACTTGGTCACCAGGTTCATAATTAACTTCTCGATGGTGGATGTTATACCGCCGTGCATCTGCGTACTGTTGAGTTCGGATGTGCACACGGGCTAGTTGACATGCTTCCTCAGCGCTCTGAATGCACTCATTGATGTCGGGGGCTAATCGGTCGAGCTTGTCGATGTCCTCAAATGGAATCATGGCGTCTAGCATAGTTCTAACATCTCGACCATAAACGAGCCGGAATAGCGTGAAGCGTGTAGTTTCCTGCGTTGGAGTGTTATACGCAAATGTTACATATGGCAGGATGTCGTCCCACATTTTGTGCTGCACATCCACGTACATAGAGATCATGTCGGCTAGCGTTTTGTTTAGCCTTTCTGTTAAACCATTACTCTGATTGTGATACGCAGTGGTCATTGATGGGTTGTGTAACTCAACCTGAAGATATTATCCAAGAGTTTCGCTGAGATTGATGTCCCTCGATCAGTGATGACATATGAGCGCCATGCCGTAGAACAATTTGATGCATAAAAAATTGGTAACTTCAGATACTGTCCCTCGTGGCAACGCCTTCGTCTCAGAATAACGCGTCAAGTAGTCGGTTGCGACGATAATCCATTTGTTGCCAGAAGAAGACAAAGGAAACGGGGCCTAGGTGGTCCATCCCCACTTGTTCAAACGGTGTACGTGGTGGATCGATCGGTTGTAGGTAGCCTGCAGGCTTTAAATATGGTGTCTTGCGACGCTGGCATTCACAGCATCCCTTCACATAGCGTTTGACACAGGCAGACATTTTAGGCCAGTAGTAGAGTTGTCGCACCCGATCCATAGTTCTCGAGTAGCTCAGATGGCCAGATGTGGGCTCGTTGTGGCAAGCTAATAAGACGTCATCGCGGAGGGCTTCAGGCCCGACGAGAAGATGTGATCTGTCACCAGCACCTGCGTTCCTTTTGTATAAGACGCCATTTCGTAGGCAAAATGATGGCAGCATTCGCGACATCGAACGAGGAATGGGCGCGGTGCCACCTTCTAAGTGATCTATAATCATTCTTAGATCGGCATCATTTCGTTGATGAGACATCAGATCCGGTCCGCTGAGAGTTGCGACGAAGGCGCTGTTCTGTTCTGCGCTAGTACTGTTGGATTGAAGAGGTGCTCGTGAGAGCGTGTCGGCGTCTTCGTGCTTGTACACGATGGTGACATCAAATTCCTGTAGGCGTAGACTCCATCGTGATAATCGTCCTGAAGGGTCTCGTAGATTGGTCAACCAGCACATAGCATGATGGTCAGTCACCACTTTAAATGGTCTTCCATAGAGATATGGCCTAAACTTTGTAATTGCCCAAATGACCGCGAGACATTCTTTCTCTGATGTGGAATAGTTAGATTCTGTGCGAGACAGTGTGCGGCTTGCATATGCTATTACCCGTTCAATGCCATCTTGTCTTTGTACCAAAATAGCTTCAAGACCAATATTACTGGCATCAGTGCGTACTTCAGTGTCAGCATCTTCATCTAAGTGGCCGAGCACGGGAGGGGAAGAGAGCCGGTGCTGTAGTTCCGCAAAGGCAGTCTGCTGTTCGTCAGCCCAGACAAATGGTGTGTCATCACACGTGAGGCGTAGTAGTGGCTCCGCAATGTTAGAGAAATTTTCAATAAAGCGCCAGTAATATGCGCAAAGACCCACAAATCGTCGAAGACTTTTCTTGTCAGTTGGAGGTGGTGTCAGTTGGAGGTGGAAAAGCGGTGACGGCAGCAGTTTTGTCAGGATCAGGTCGAACACCAACGGCGCTCACGACGTGACCAAGAAACTTTAATGACATTTCTCAGGCTTGAGTGCGAGATCGGCCAATTTAATGGCTTCGAGAACATTCCGAAGGCGACGATGATGCTCGTCAAATGTTTCTGAAAACACAACGACATTATCGAGGTAGACGAGACAGCTTTTCCACTTGAAGTCTGCCAGGACGGTGTCCATCATTCGCTGAAATGTAGCTGGAGCGGAACAGAGGCCGAAAGGGAGCACTTTGAATTCATAAAGGCCATCCGGCGCTACAAAAGTGGTCTTTTCCCGGTCACGTTCATCGACCTCTATTTGTTAATAACCGCTCTTCAAGTCGACGGACAAAAAATACTTCGCGCGTTGCAGCTTGTCCAAAGAATCACCGACTCTGGGCAACGAGTACACGTCTTTCTTTGTGACATTGTTCAACTTCCTGTAGTCGACACAAAAGCAAAGCGTGCCATCTTTCTTTTTCACAAGAACGACTGGTGATGACCATGGGCTGCTTGAAGGCTGTATCACGCCATCCTGAAGCATTTCCTTAACCTGCGTTTGAATCGCGTGCCACTCGGTTGGCGAAACACGATAAGGCTGCTGCCATATGGGATGCGCGTTGTCGTAGGTGATAATACGGTGTTTCGTTATCGGTGTTTGACGTATCTTCGAAGAACGTGCAAAGCATGTGTGGAACTCCAGCAACAGCTCGCTCAAAAGCTGCTTGTTCACTTCAGAAAGCGTTGGATTGATGTCGACGCTGCGGAAAGGCGCTTCAGCAGTGCCAATGGCCTCGGAAGCAAAACACTCGGTGACATTGGCGACTGGGTCGGCGTAGGCGATGACATTTCCAGGAAAAAGGTTCCGGTACTCGTAGCTGAAGTTTGTGACAAAAACGTCGCAGTGATCATCACGAAGGTCAACAAGGCTTCTCGCTATGCAGACACCTTGAGACAGCAAAAGCGAGTGATTGCTTTCCACGACTGCTTCACCGTGCATCACTCCGTCCCACGCCACTAAACCACAACAGTTGCACGAGGTGGTAACGTGACAGCGTCGTCGACGACGCGAAAAGACACTCGGGAGTGTCTGGGGTCGGCGTAAGCTGTTATGGCGTTTGTGGTCGCGAAAGTGACTAGACATCGTCGAATGTCAATTATAGCATCATGCTCCCTGAGAAAATCCATGCGAATGATCAGGTCTCCAGAACACTGCCGGAGAACGCTCAAACTGGCAACAAATGTACAACCGCGGACTTGCAGTCTTGCCGTGCACATACAGAGTGGCGTGACGATATGCCCGCCAGCTGTACGAATTGGCGTTCCGTTCCAAGGCGTCGTTACTTTCTTGAGAAGGGCGGCCAGCTTTTCACTAATTATGGAATAGTCCGCACCAGTGTCCACTAAAGCGCTGACTTCGCGACCATCTAGCAGAACAGGAATATTTAAGGAAACTCTTCCGCAATCAGCCAATGGGGTTGTAGTCGATGTATCGTTGGTATCTTCAGTCTGCGTCGATAGGGGGCCTTGAGCATGACCAGTCTGAGCGGCCTTGCCCCTGAAGGTCGCTGAGGCTAGTTTTCCCGACGCGGGCTAGGTGACCGGCCCTGCGCCACGCCCGCATAGGTGCAATGATTCGGTGAGAACCGCCGCGGTGATGGAGAGCGTGAGTGATGCCGAGATGTCGATCCACGCTGCTGAGCAACGTAGTCGGCGATTTCCGGAGGCCGCTGGCCGAACCTAGGAGGTGGGGAGTTGGACGAAAAACCACGAAGTCCCAGCTCTCGATAAGTGCACTGTCGGTAGATGTGCCCAGGTTCACCACAGTGATAGCAAAGGGGACGTCGATCGGGGCACCGCCACACATCTGATTTTCGCGGAATCGGTCGGCGGTCACTGAGGTATGGGCTCGCTTGGACTGCCTGAAGCATGGCTGGGGCTGTGGTATAAGGCGGGGTGAAATGTGGTGCAGCTTGGCGCAGAGTTTGGTCTGCCGGAAGCATGGCAGGGGCCGGGGTGGGAAGCGGAGCCAAAGGTGGTGCTGGCTGGAGCAGAGTTTGCGCATACGACATGCGAGGGAAGTCATTTAGGGGCCGCGGCTCTGCCTGACAGGACGGTTCTCGTAGTGCCTGCTGAACTTCATCTCGGACGATGCCGGACAAAGAACTGACAGTGGGCGCCGTGGGTACAGATGACTTCTGCAGTTCTTCGCGAATTGCAGAGCGTATGAGCTCTCAGAAGAAGTCGACGTGGCCTTCGAGACCACCCATGTAGTCCGTAGCAGAGGCGAAGTTCACTTGTCGCTCGTACGTCTGAGTCCGTTGCTGAAGCGTGCTTTCAATCAGGATGGCTTCAGCAAAAAACTCTGACGTAGTCTTGGGGGGGCTGCGTACAAGACCACCGAACAACTGCTCCTTCACTCCACGCATCAGGTATCGCACCTTCTTCTTTTCCGGCATGTGAGGGTCGGCTCGTCGAAAAAGACGCCTCCTGTCCTCAACATACATTGCTATGCCTT